CCACTCTCTCTCAAGAACTCTTCTCCCTCTTCTAGAGCTTCTCTCTCCTCTCCAAAACAAGTATAGGAACAAATGGTAGGTTTCTCTCTCTATCGGCTGACTTAACTCTCAGCTCGGACACGTGGCAGCGGTTGACTGGTTCTCTTCAAAAAGGTGATGGATTGACAAGACAAGATCATGACAAAGCGTATCTAACAAGCTACTCGGTTTGGCACTTCGGCGATGATGACATCGGCTAAGGACAAAGCTTCGGCAACTAAGGTGACAATGACCTCGGCTAGGAAGGACAACACTTGACTAAGTTGTGCCACACCTTGGCCTAGATGTGCCACACCTCGGTCTAGGTCATGCCACTCCAGGACAAGATCACTCAGGTGCAAAGGTAACATCTCGGCCTAGATAATACACATCTCGGCCTTGGTGGTTCACACCTCGGCCTAGATAATGACATCTTGGCCAATATGTCAGGGCGAAGGTGGAGGTCAAACAAAGGGGTTCCAAGATACTTCTAGACTGAAGATGACCTCGGCTTGGAATGATCTAGACGTAACGTAACCTAGGCTTGGCATGACTTCGGCTTAACATAACCTAGGCTTGAGACACCAAGGAAGGAAACAAGCATGCACACAACACTTAGGCAATTCACATAACCACAAAACAAGGCATGGACCTTACTTAGCCAAAACAAGTCATAAACATGCAAATGCAAGCTTAACGAGTCATAATCATACCAATGTTCATGAACATGACTAAGACATAAATGTGGGTTGTTACATTGATCGTCGAGGGCTACATTTTGATCCGAGAAACTTGTGGTTTGGAGCATTTTGGTTTTCTTCATTCTCTTCTCTTGGGCTCCGAATTTGAGGTAGGGATTCCTACTTACTACTATGGGTTTTAACCTAGATTTTTGGGCATTTTGTTAAATGGTTGATTTTGGGACTTAGGATTTCAAAAAGTATAAATGAGGGTTTTGTCGTTTTGATTCTTAAATATGTATTTTGGGTTTCAAAATGGTGTTATTGATGTTGGTTGTTGATATATAGACCATTGGGTCAATATTGGGAACTGGGGTAGAAAACCCTAATTGGTTGTATAAATTAATTGGTATAATTAATTTGGAAAAATTGTGATTATATGGAATTGAGTTGGGAATAATGAAATTGGCTCATTATATAGTAGAATAGTGGAGTTGGATTTATTAATCGCTCACTTTCGAAAACATTGATATTATATTTGCTGGAGCTTTTATTATCTATTTAGAAACAATTGCTTGGGCCACCGGTGGAAGGTAGTTTTGGTTGTTGTAGACAATGCATGATGATTAGGCAAACTAAAACTAATCAATTGGATATGTCATAGAGTATGATGGTTGTTAGAATACATTAACGTTATGTATTGATTGATTGTGTATATGACCTATGTGTATATACGTTGTGTGTGTGGGAGGAGATAGGGGATGTACTCCACGGTTTAGGGGAAGATTGGGGATGGACCTCTAAACCGGATGTTGTTTGGGAGGAGATAGGGGATGGACTCCACTGATATAACTCATATGCTTGTCAGTTAACGTGTTGATACAACTCATATGCTTATCTTTGGAAGTGTTGATATAGCTAATATGCATATCTGTTGAAATATGGATACAGCTGTATACTTATCTGTTGAGATGTTGATACAACTAGTATGTTTATCTATTATGAAATGGGAAACGTTTAATATGAGTCACTGTCTCATATAAGTGGTTGGCCAGGTTCTGAGCCGTTGATATAAATGGTGAAATTGATAAGAAATGGAAACTGAAATGAAATATGAACATAGTGGTCATGAAATGGAAATGGGGTATGAATTGATTTATGGAATTAAACATTTATCAATTGCTAATGTCTTAGTTATTGCTCATACTGTGTTTAGCATATCTCTACTGGGCATTGGCTCACCCTTTATGGGGCATTATTTTCAGGTACAGGTAGTATGCCACCTCCAAGGACATAGCTTGGATGATGATGAGAGTTGAAAACTCTTTTTGTTTATTCTGTGTGTATTACATGTATATCAAGCCAAGGGCTTATCTTGTATAGAGTTAGTACTCTTCTTTTGTGTACCAGGTGTTGACTTGGAAAGCTGTAAGCCCATAGGGCATTTGCTTTTGTTGTTAACATGTAATACGGTTGTAAGAACTACTCTAATGAATATAAATGGTCAGTTTCTTTTATATCAATGCATGTCTAAAGTGATGTGTTTTATGTATTATTTTGAGGGCGTTACAATATGCGTTAGGCAAGGAATTTAACAATAACAGTGCTTTATCTTCATCATCAATTTGAACATCCAGGTTTTTCAAATCGGTAAGAATTTTGTTGAAATTGTTCAGGTGCTCGTTCATCGAAATAGCTTTCTTGTAGTCGAAATGAAACAACCTCTTCTTCAAGTAAGGCCGGTTCTCAATGCTCTTTGTCATGAACTTGTCTTCCAGCGCCTTCCAAAGCTCCTTCGCAGTATCATATTCTGTGAAGGTGTACTTCTTTTCTTTTGCAAGGCAAAGTCAGATGGAACTACAGGCCAGGAGATTCACTTTCTCCCATTCTATTTCATCCAATTCATCTGGTTTGTCTCCCAGAGTGAAGTGCAGGTTCATCTAGACAAGCATATCTTTAACTTTGCATCTCCACATGTCGAAGTTGCTGCTTCTATCAAACTTTTCTACCTTGAACTTAGCATGGGACATTGGGGTCCAATGCCTAGAGTTGCTTGTAGTCGTCGAGTTACTTGTGGACTCGGTTGATCTCGTCTCTGTAGGTTCTTCCAATGACACTATTCAATAATCTCCACTACAAACAATAACAAACACTTGAAATGCCCAGAACACGGCAAATTCTAAGCTACCAAGAACTTCACTAAAAATTCGGGTCCGAATCTCAAAAAACGGAATCTGCGGTGGTGTCCAGAACGGTTGATTTAGCTAGGAAAGCACTTTCTCCACTTCTCTAGAGACTTCAATGAAATTTCTTCAAATCCAAGGGCCAAATTGCAACTTTCCAAAACTCTAGGGACCTTACTGCAACTAATAGAAGTTTTAGGGGCTAAATTGTAATTTTAGAAAGATCAGGGACTGAAATGTAATTTACCAAAATTTTAGGTCCTCCCTGCAATTTTAGAAAAATGGCTAACTGGAATGATAATGTGGCAGATGTGCTGACGTGTGTTGATGATGTGGCGGGTGAGCTGTTGATGACATGGCTCAACACATGGTAATGACTTGGTAGCCACGTGGTTCAGACGTGGCAGTGACTAGGCTGACACCTGGCGTTGGCGTGGCAGCTTCCAAAAATAATTTGGAAATTTATTTGTGATAAGCTTTGAACCCTTGCCCTAAAGGGTTTTAACCAAGGCTCTAACCACTCTGCCAGGTGTTAACTTGTGCTATGTTGGTGCACAAGTGAATACTTAAAGCCTTTAGGACAAGTTGACTTCTTCAGCCTTTGCTTCTTCACCGGACTGAACTTTCCGGCAAGTCTCCGGCAGAAATCCGGCAAGCGTATGATAGCGCGTGAAGTGTCTTCGTGGGTTGGTCTTTCTGGGTTTGAACACCTCTTATCGAAGCGGTCGTCCTGGTAGGCTGAAAACTCGATTTTGACAACTTTGAAATTTTCAGTTTACAAAAAAAAAAAAAAAGACGTTTTGTTTTTCGCACAACGCTCTGATACCAATTTGTTGTGCCTAGGAGGCAGAAAACAATCACACACAAGCACACAAGTAAGAACACACAAAGATTTACGTGGTTTAGCAAATCGCCTACGTCCACGGGCAGCCAAATTCACTAAATTTGGAAGAATTACACACTCTATAATTCGCTCTCTGCTCTGTATTCTCTCTTCAACTCACTACACTGAACCCCTTCCATTCACTAACCATTTATAGATGCAATGGGAGGGCCGAAGTCTTCAACAAGCCACCGACAACATTAATGGCAACCACCAACAGTCAGCCACCCTATCATGGATAGCTCGGCTGAATGTCTAGCTTCTTCATTTTTTCTTCAATTAGCAGCCATCTTTGACAAAGCAAACAAAGCAAATCTGAGCCAATCTTCAACAGAACTTAGCCTCCTGTCCAGTCTGCAAACTTTAAACCAGAACAATAACTCTCTGGAAGGAGAAATTCCAGCCAACCTCTCTCACTACTCCAGCCTGACGTTCCTTGGTTTGGCTAACAACAACCTTGTAGGCAAAGTTCCCCAGGAGCTCAGTTTCCTGTCAAAGCTCAAGCATCTCGTTATTCAAAAGAACAATTTAACAGGAGGGATCCCTTCTTTCCTCGTGAACCTGACAGCTCTGGAGGTTATATCTGCAGCTCAAAATGCTTTCAGTGGAAGTATCCCAGATGAATTGGGTCAACTGAGAAACATTAGTTATTTTGCATTGGGTGAGAGCAGCCTAACTGGTATGATCCCTACCTCCACTTATAACCTATCCTTTCTTACTGTTTTCTCTTTGACTATAAATCAACTTCGAGGCAATTTTCCTCCAAGCCTCGGCCAAATGCTTCCTCAGCTTCAAGCAATTCAGTTATATAACAACCAATTAACTGGGCCCCTCCCACTCTCACTATCCAATGCGTTAGAATTGGAATATATTGACATAGGAATTAACTATTTCAATGGGAAAATATCAATTGATTTTGGACGCCTAACACATAAGTGGTTCATAAATCTACATTCCAACAATTTTGGAAGTGGGGAGCCTGATGAAATGGATTTTTTTGGCTCTCTGGCCAATTGTAGTAATTTGGAAGTATTGGATCTGTTTGGTAACAAATTGAGGGGAGTGTTACCAGATCATGTTGGCAATCTTTCAACTAAACTCGATTATTTAGCACGTATAGAGTCATCCCATCAATAATCGGTAATAGAAGAGTGTTGGGAACTACTCTTTTAGGCATAGATTTCCTCACCATTTGTCATGCCAAAATATTATTCTTTTCCCATCCCCAACCTTGATCTAGAACTTATCCAAATAGAACTCATACAAAGGCTGACTATGGCTAGCAGTTGAGATAATATCACTCCAGATTCTGGATTGCCTATTAGATGAACATGAAGGTAGATGCCACTTGTCTTCCCTAATCATATAGTTGCTATACATAACTCTTCTCCATAGAGAATTTACTTCATTCTCAAATTTCCACCACCATTTTAGAAGTAGACTGGCGTTGACATCTTGATTCTTCTAATACCAAGGGCCCCCTTGATCAACATTTGTTACTTCTACCCATTTTACCAAGTGCACTTTTCTTTTCAAGTCATTCCCACTCCATAGGAAAGTTTCCTCAATCTTCCCAATCTTCTCAATCTCTCTAACTACGCCATTGGGAATTCTAAACAAGGACATGTAACAAAGAGGCAAATTGGACACCACAGATTTGATTATTGTAAGTCTACCTACAAAAGATAGAAGTCTTCTTTTCCAACCAGCCAATTAATACCTTACTTTTTCCAATATAGGCTTCCATGTTGATTTTTTACCTGGGTTAGCCCCTAAGGGTAGACTAGAAATTTGAGGGACAAACAAATGGAAGCGGAATAAAAATAAACATAACCACATTATGAAGTACACCATTAGCAATTTTGGTATTTTTCTGTGGGTGCAAACTGTGGGGCCATCTTTCTAGTCTGGCATCAACACCAGATGAAACACTTTTATGTGGGCGATGATTGGAGGAGCTAGCAGATTGAATCTCTGAGGCAAGAAAAAAGTTTGTGGCAGTATACGTGTCGGAGGCAGGGGCATCACCATCAGTAAAGCTTCTGAAAATTATACTTTCTGTGAGAGGACCATTGTGTTTTCTTGTTGAAGTAGCTTTATTTTGGATTTGAGTAAAGGAAGTATTGCCAGCACCAGCTACCCTGTTATTAAGACTGATTTCCTTATCTGATGCTTGAATAAAGCTCGCCATGGTTGTTGAGTTGTCATCAATTGTACCTATGGTTGTAGAAGCATTAATGGAATCAGGATATGACTTGATCTGAATGGCTATGGAGTATGGACTAGAAAACTTAAAATCTTTGGAATGGTTTATCAGGCAATATTGAACAAGTAATATAAAAATAAAAATAAAAAAAGTAGTAAATTAGGATTGACTGCGAATTCAAGCCATAGAAGCACATGGTTTCATAAAACCGCACAATTTTCCTGATCTAAATCAATTAGGTTTTACATGAAAGAGATGGTGTGGTTTCTCTGCACCTAGGACACAAGAATATCGCTCTTTAGGAAAAATTTCTACACCTACCCTACTTTGACAGATGAAAGTTTCTCAGATATGCTGTTGCAAAATTCAAAATAATTAGTTTACAATTGTTATTAGTTTAAACAGTGGAACTAATTGAAAACAAAAAAAAAAGAAAAAAATGGCTCTAAAATAGTACCTTCAGAATAATTAGGTGACGGATTGTGGTCCTTTTCCTTGGAATGGATTTCAAGGCGCATAAATTTTTCATCTGAATGTCCACAAATATCCTCATTACATGCAATCAAGGCCACAGGTCCTTTATTGTAAGAGCAAATATTTTTGTTGTCACTGCTACCAACTTGACAAATTGATGGCTGAACTGATGCATCAACACCAACAGGCAACCCCAAAGTGTCAGATCTAGTTTTGCTTTCACCCATGGTTGTTAAACCAGCTTCAGCAACATCAGGACCGGATTGATCACTATTGACACTATTATCAGGATCAACAGGTGCATTTTGTCCAGAACTTGGGACAACTGAACCAGGATCCGTTTTCAAGATATGCATCTTCTTGTTTTCCTGCTGGCCTAAAAGGGGACTCTGAGTATGCGCTTCTGTAGCATGTTTAATATAAAAAATAAAATAAATAAAAAAAGAATTTGTAATGCAATTATAAGAAAAAGGACATCTCAATTACACTTGGTAGTGTTTGGTTCACCGGAATGGAATAGAATGGAAATGATTATTCCATCAAAATATCCATTCTCATATTTGGTTGACTAAAAATAAAATAAAAAATACATTGCAAATAGAATCATCATTCACCATTGTAAGGGAATTGTAGCGATCCCGGTTTCGATCATTCTTTCATGTTTTGCCACTTCGACTGGGCAGGTCGG